TCATCATCATCATCATCATCATCTCCATCATCATCATCATCATCATCATCATCATCATCATCATCATCGTCATCATCGATAATCAGCTAGTATCCGGAAGCATCACCTCTCGAAACATCCAAGGAAGGGCACCAAGACAGCCTCCCGGACGATTTGCAACAGGTCACATTCCTGCGAAGAGCAAAGTCACAACCACTCGATCTGACGTGGCAGATGTACATGCTGGGGGTGAACATCATAGTACTGTGCCATGTCCAGAACCTGTCGGAGATCGCTCTCAGAGATGATATGCGTCTCCCAACATCAACTGACCTCTTCGTGGCTGATTGTGACAGGCTTGAGGGAATCATCATACTGAAAGCTCTCCTCTGGTTTTGATCGAACTTGCCCGATGAGATGAGCTTCAAGGAAACATCGTCAGCATGCTGCACAAAGAGCATCTTCTCCGGCAAACATGACAGACACACAGGTTGGTCACGAAGAAACAAGTGCAATCTCACGAAGAAATAAGTGCAATCTCACCTTCTCCTGCCGCTTCTCCTCATAGAGCATCCTGTACTTGTGGAACAGCGGATGCTCCACTGTGCTCTCATCCGTCTCACTGGAGTGACCTGTCACCTTATCTTCCCGCTGGAAGCTGAAGCCCATCACCTGTTGTAGAAGTAGATGTCTCCCCGAGAGCTTGTATGCTCTGTCCATGGCTCCGGCAGCTCTTCGCTCAGACATTGTTCTGCTATCATGTCAGGATACAACCTGGCTCTGCCCATCCCTCGACCACCTGCTATCCAGATAAGGTCTTCCTCCTTGTCCACGTCGATCCCCAGGTACACAGCAAAGTCCAGCACCTGAAGGCAGGGCATCACCAGGCGCTGAATGGACCGCGGTCCTTTCCTACCTCTGGAGGGTACCTCTTACTCTTCCTGGGCATCTGCGGCGCCCTGAAAACCTGTACAAAGCAAGGATCAAGGAAATACACCACAGTACTGAAGTTCAGTGAAAGCTCCTGCATATCTTGCAGTCCTTCAGATCTTACAGCAAAGATAGCTGGACTGTAACTCCCTTAAGGACCGAGTTGTCATCCTCAACAGCCCACAATCGGCTTCTACCTAGCTAACCACGCTGTCTCTTATCTGATCTCCTCTCTCCTCTCTCCCGTGTCTTGCTCTGCATATCCTCTCGATAGTCTATTCCTTGCATTTCCTTCAACTGAAGCGGAAGGAGTCGCTGGGGATGAGGGTCTGTCTGGTTTACTTAGATAACTGTTATTATTACTCTATTTTAAATAGACAATTCTGAGAGACATCAATGATTACCCATGAAGATTAGTGCATGATATAGTGAGATGTTTGGGCAGCAACATCCAAGGTTTTAGGGTCATATTCCTGAGGGTGGGGTTGATGTATAGAGATGGTGGGGTACTTTAAAAGTAAGAAAGAGGGGTGGGAGAACCAAGAACGAGAAGGGTACCCTATGCTGCTTTGTGCGCTGTCCAATGGCAGAGGGGGGAGAGATGCGGGGGAGGGGGGGAGGGGAGGGAAGGAGTAGAAGAGGAAGGAAGAAGATGGCGATGGGAGACTACGAAGGAAGGGAATTCTGAGACAAGGATTGAGATGGAGAGGGATCCATGGCCAGATCGTGAGTGGTTATCCCGAGGATGCGGTCCGCTGTCGGTCAGAGCATGAGATGGTAGTGGAAAGACTACATGTGAGGTCGAGTCTTGCAAGACGATACAAATGATGGTGGAAAGTCTTGAAGGCATCCAGATACGAAGCTTTCCGATCCTCCTTGCAGCTCAATAGTTTTCTTGCAGGAGTGTCGAAGGACGATCGGAGGACTGCTCGCGGCGGATGTCTACCAGTCGACAACTTCTCGAAGTCTTGGACTGCAGAGAGTCAGTCAACGTCTCATCTACTCCTCAACACCATGAGATCGATGGAATCTTCCTCTCCAAGTTGACTTCGAGCAAGGACGTCTTTCTCTACCTAGTCTCGACGTTCTCGCGCGCTGCACAATACGGTGGGTGGAAGCTTGTATCGCTCCTCTTGGCTCTCAGTGGTCCTTATCCGAACTGACGATCTTTTGAACAGGGGATCAAGACTGGGCGCAGTACGTCAGGCGTCAATGCATCTCATACTCTGCGCTAGTGTTGCTCCAACCAGGGAACTTTGCAGGGGCGAGCGCTCCTCCTCCCGATTTCGCGAGTTTGAAGTTGTTCCTGTTGGTTGAGGAGAGTGGACAACTCCGTGCTCCACCAGGCTTCGTTCAGGAGCTTCTGAGCAAGCTAGAGTCCCTTGAGCTTCCGCATTATCCGACTCCACACGGATGCCTGAAGAGTCTGATACTTGGAAACTCGAATAGCGTCATTCCCTACATCATCTCAAGGTTGTCCAAGAAGCAAGTGACAGATAACACTGCAGCAGAGTTCCTCATGATGGAAGAGCTGTGCAGCAACAAGGCAGCAATGAAGTTCTTGTTCGAGTCGCAGTACTGGACTCCAAAGGGAGTAAGCTTCAACATGGCTCAGATGATAGAGATGAAAACAATCTTGGGCTCTTTCTTGAGGCTAAGTTGTTATCCGGAATCACAGATTGTGGCTGGACAGCTACAACCCATTCGTCACCCTGTCGGTCAGGATTGCTTCAGCGACTGCGTCCACAAAGCCAAGCTCGATATTGATAGCTCTGTTTCACAAGTACGAACTTTCTTGCAGGTAATTTGTCACACTTTGACTTAGGTCGATCATTGACCGGATGTTTGCTTTTCCTGCCAGGCCTCTCAGGCCAAGACCCTCAACATGATGAAGATTATGCTCAAAGATTCGAATTCTCAACAAGAAGTGTTTTCATGGATTTCGACCGTCTTGAAACACAATGAGATTCGGCTTAAGCTAGGATACCACGTTGGATATCTCATGGCACGGTACTGAAAACGTTGGGTACGATAGTCAAGAAGTGACGTTTGAGTCGCTAGGTCAAGCTCTACAGGCTTCTTGTTTAATCTTCTCAGTGTACTTTTGAAACTTTGTAAACCGTTCGCCGACCCGGACCATCCAAAAGCATTATGGCACAAGATTGATTCTACGTGAGTGTACATGAGATCGAAACAGCTGTTTTGTGCAACAAGATTGTATTGTGTTTGCTCAATGTTTTTCTTCTTGGGTCACTGACTTGAGTACCGTGTGCAGTTGGCTGCTATCAAAGCATCGGATGGACTTGAGCAATGAAACTCGTCTGGCAACGACTAGAGGAAATGCGCATGGAGAAAAGTAAAGAAATGAGGGTGTGATTGTAGCCTGTCTTGACGTTCTTGTGGTCGCAGTGAAGGTGGTGAAGATCACGAGGAATTGGAGCAAGATGAGCACATCGAAGTTAGCAAGAACTTTGGAACTATCTCTGAATATTTCTTTTTGGCACTTCGCTGCCTCAATATTGTCCACCTCAGCCAGCAAGTCAAGGATTATGCCAAGATTAGTCGAGAGCTGCAGGAGAGAAACCATAGCCTCAATCAGTCAGCAGATGACGTCCATGAGAAGATGGCTGAGATCTCTGTACTCGTTGAGCGAAGGTTATGCTACGATGTGGTAATGCTCATAGCTTTGTCCATCATCGTTGTCGGCTCACAGCCTCTCAGGTTCTGATGGATCCAAACTTGGTGGACGAGCTCCTGCTCTTCGCTCGCCTGGTAGCCCGATGGTTGCTACGGGTTGCTGACGCTCCTCCGACTATCTTACCTCTCCCGCCAAAGCCCTCAGCCATGTTCAAAGCCATCCCTGAGTTCTGCGTGGAGGGAGTGACAGACATCTTAAGGATGGTAGCACAGATGAACATCCCGACGTTGGAGCTGATGGGCATGCCGATCCTGCAAGACTTGTTCAACTTCCTCATGGTCTTCTCTTCCAACGATGTATATATCAGGAATCCCTACCTGCGAGGCAAACTGCTGGAGGTTATGAGCCTTTTGATACCTCGAGGGAGGAACGAAGGGTTCGAGCTGGGTGGAGGGTCCCTTGCGACCCTCTTCGAGGAGCATGACATCGCGCGCAAGTTCTTGGTCCCGACGCTCATCCGCTTCTACGTGGACATTGAGGTGACAGGGCGTGATTATTCCAACAACCAGTTCTACGAGAAGTTTCACTACCGGCATTACATGGCGGAGCTGCTCATGTACATCATGAAGTTTCCTCATTACATCACAGCGCTGAAGAGAGAGAGCGAGAACGTCGCAGAGTTTGTTCGCTTTATCAACATGATGTTGAACGATATCATCCACTGTATCGACGAGGGTCTCTTGAAGCTGGCTGACATCCGGAAGACTGAGTTCGAGAAGGCCGACACTCAAGCATGGAATGCAAAGTCGGAAGAGGAGCGGAACCAGGCGGAGCAGCACCTGCAGACCATGTACGGTCAGGCAGGTTGGGGCCTTCAAGCAGCGACAGAGGTGTTGACGATGATGGAGAAGTTGACGAAGCATGTGCTGGATCCCTTCCTCCGTGCAGAGCTCGCTGACCGAGTGGCCGCCATGCTCAACTACGTGATTAAGACCATCGCAGGGCCTCGCTGCATCGAGCTGAAGGTGCAACATCCTGAGAAGTGTTACTTCAAACCCAAGGAGCTCTTGGCGCTGGTGGTTGAAGTCTTCATGAACCTTGCCAAGCATGAGAAGTTTGCGTTGGCGGTGGTGAGAGATGAGCGTTCTTACGACCACGAGGTGACGAGGTTCTCAAGCTGAAAGATGCTCTGACAGTGTCGGCCAGGTCCTCGCTAAAGTCTATCGACTGATCAGGACGCACGCGTTGGAGGATGAGTCCTTCTGCCAGCAGTTTCTGGTCCACGACTTGATGAACATCTTTCGTGACCCTGACGTCATTCCTGCAGGACTACACGCAAGTCCTTCAGGAATCGAAGCAGAATCAGATGGAGCTCGACGCCAAGATCGAGGAGGCACCGGACGAGTGAGAGGAGGGGAGTCATTCCTCCTTTCTCATGATCCTCAGGTTCCTCGATCCCATCACTCAAGACATCATGACGGACCCAGTCATCTTGCCGACCTCAGGTCGAGCTCGTCGCAGCTGCTCAACTCCGGTGACTCGTGCTGCAGGCAACATCATGGACAGGCAGGCGATCATGCGCCACCTGCTCAGTGACGAGACAGACCCTTTCAACAGGATGAAGCTGACGCCCGACATGCTCCAGGTCCTCGCGCTCTTGACTTGTGGAGCAGGACTGGAAGGGAGATTGCCATAGAGGCCGAGAAAGAGGCCAGAGTGGGAGGAAGGGGGGGGTTGGGTGGGTGGGTGCAGAGGGGTTTGGTGGGCGCAACGCGCAGAACAGACATGGCGTGCTCATATTGGTATATTCTGAAATCTTTTGGCAGCCTGCAGAAGATTTGAAGAAGCGGATCAACGAATTCTTGGCTTCTAGGAGGTGAAGTTTTCGAATTCCTCCTTTTCTCTGACCAAAATCTTGCAGAACATAATCGAGACATGCGGGTATGTTGCGATTGAGAATGAAAACAACAGACAACAGACGATCCCGTCCCTGCCGCGCTCTTGTATTCACATCTTCTCAGAGCATCCAAAACCGCACGATGTTCTCAAGGCTCGCCACATGTTGATCCGAAGACATGTAGTCCGGGGCTCCTCCGCTTGAGTCAGAACTGCGGGCATGGCGATTAGTGCAAAGGAGAAATAGCAGGAGGAGCGGTGGCACCTGTTGGCAAACGCCATGATAGCAGGCGAGTTTGGCTTCTGGCTCCAAGAGAGGCAGGAGATGGAGGGCCAGACCTGTCCTTCATGTTCAGCAGCAGGAAGAAACGCTGTCCTTCACCTTGGCTTGGATCGCCGGGTTCGTAGCAGGAGGGAGCGAGTTCCTTGGATCCTCCGACTTGTACTCAGGCGTCCCGTCCCCGAAGAATCCCTTCTGCCCTCCTGCTGCCACCGGCCCCACGTTCCAAACGGTGAAGCGGCCGTCACCTCCTCCGGCAACCACAAGGTTCGGGTGATTAGGCATCCTAGTCACCACATTCACAGCTCGCGCGGAACTTTGCGGCTGCCCTGCCATGGCCGGCTGGGTGAGGAGGATCTTGCGCTGCTGGGGGCCCTCTCCCTGGCGCAGCATGACGACACCCAGCTCGCCGTTGATGCCGCCGACAGCGAAGCCTTGAGGCTCCATCCCGTTGTTGAGGTTGCTGATGAGGCAGGCAGAGCGCGTCTGGAACATGAGGGGCGAGTAGGAGGGGAAGGAAGCGACGCACTGGGCCCCGTTCCTCACGTCGTGCAGTGAGATCAGCCGGTCACTCCCGGCAACTAGGAAGTACGGGCACAAGACATCCATCCCGTAGACTTTCCCCGGCACTTTGATCTTCGACATCGGCTGCAAGCTACCCTGTCGCACGTCCCACAGCGCCACCGTCTTGTCCCACGACCCTGTCAGGATGCCGTTGATCGACCAGCCGTCCTCGTTGTGCAGAGCCTTGCAGAACTTGATGCCTCCTTCGTGCCGTCCTCTCTCAGCCACAGCCCCGGCGTTTGCTCCCTTCTGCACGTCCCATGCCAGCAGCTTCCCTTCGCAAGTTCCCAACAGGAGCTCCATGCTCCTCGTCCATGCCGAGCAGAGGATCGGTTGCGGCATCTTCATGGGAGGGTTGTGAGCTGCTTGGACGGAGGCGACCGAGTTGTTCTGAGCATTGACAGAGAGGACGTGAACGTCTCCCTCCCAGCTCGTCACGGCAAGGTGGTTCTCCGTGAGACCCCACGCCATGGAGGAAGCGCTGAATTTATGTCCGTTGCCCAGGAGGAACCTATCCACCCCTCCCTCGTTCGTCCATCCCCCCCCTGCCGATGGGAAAGCACTGCCATTTGATGAGAGACCTCCTCCTCCTCCTGCTCCCTGCCCAAAGCCTCCTGCTCCTGCCTGCCCAAAGCCTCCTCCTGCCTGCCCAAAGCCTCCTCCTGCCTGCCCAAAGCCTCCTCCAGCTCCCTGCCCAAAGCCTCCTCCTGCCTGAGGCTGACCGAATCCTCCTGCTTGACCGAATCCTCCACCTCCTGCTTGTTGACCGAATCCTCCTCCTCCAAATCCACCGAAGTTCATCGTAAGGGAGGCTGTAGAGGAGGCGTCTGCTGCCTTTCTCTACTCCGTGTCTCCTCCTTCCTCCTCCCCTCTGCTTCACTCTTCCAGCATCGCTCCCATTCCCATCATTCTGTCCGGGGGCAGCAATTTCACTCACCCGCTTGCCATATGAAAAGTTCAATACCCTAGAGGGCAGCAATTCCACCGCTCAAAAAATGGGCGGGCGGGAGAACAGTTTCCCTCGTCATGCGGTGGTAGAGGAGAGGACATTGTGACGAGAGAGGAGCCGAAAATGGGAGAGGAGCAGAAGAGAAACAGAGATCATGGAGGCCTTTCTTGCTGCAACGATGCTGTTCCTCTCTATGTTCTCTATGTGAAGGCGTGGAAACTCGATTTTTGAACTGTGACAGAAGGAAGGAAGAGAAAGATGAAAGGTTCAAGGAGTCAAACTGAACAAGTCAGTCCCGTCTCGAAGAAGAGGCCGACAACTTCGCCGGCCCACCATGCTGCCGTTGTGAAGTCAGATGCCGTCACTAGGGTACTTGTGCATGTTTGAATCCGACGACGCTGAATTCTTTTTAGCGATTATTGATTGACGACATTGAGAAGAAATTGAAGAAGAGGATCATTAGTCAAGATGCAATCAGAACTATGCGTGCTCAGGTTGACGAGTTGGAGATGCAATCGAAACAAGTCGACCAGATCTACGAGGAGAAGCTCAAGGATTTGTTGGAGAAGAAGGTTTGTCAAATGACGAAAGTCATGTGCGAGGCTGTGGACTCAGCATTCTTTCATCCAGAGAAAGCAAGAGAGACAACGGGAACTTCTGGATGCTCATGAAACGGCGATACACTCTGCAGGTGTCGAACAAAGCTTCGCCTACCTTGTTGCTGATTGAAATCAACCAGTCCTGCGAGTGAACGGAGTGATGTCGGTCTTGAATGAATTTTCGAGCGACCTCGCAAAGAAGGTGATATTCTGCGTGATCGCAATCTATTGCCAAATTGACGAGATGGAATCTGTCAGATCCACAAGCTCAAAATGACAGTCGAAGAGTTGAAGGAGGTCAGTGATGAATGTTTCACTTCGATCCTCTTAAATCATGATGACAGGATGAGAGCACTATCAAGCATAATTTTTCTGTGCAAGGTGATTACATCTACCTTGGGAGATTCTTTCTTCGAGGAAACATTTCCTTGAATCTGGCTCGCCTCCTGTGCCACGACAACTGAATCTGATTTCGCAGATGTCGAATGGAATCATGCTTGCATGATGGAGTCTATACTAAATGAGGATAATCTTTCAATTGATTTGAATGATCTGAAAGAACAGGTTGATTTCCCTCTGATTGCTTTTGTCTTCTTGGTTTCTGTTCGATTTTGATGTGGAACTGCAGTGGAATACTCTGTCGTTCACAACATATTCTTCATGGCTCCCAACTCAGGTCTGTTTCGACCTGACCAACTCAATTCGCGGTTTTTATGTTTGATTCCCAGAAATCTCAAGTTGACCAATTTTGTGTCGAGGTTGCTCTTTCAATTCTATTGTTGGTTGTGTGAGATCTGTTGCTTCCAGGAGAAGTTGTCAATCAAGTCAGCTATTGAGAGTTGTGCTCAGCTGAACGCAAACGTGACTGAGAATTTATTGCGCGTTTTCCTCTCTGAGAGTTTATCTGCTGCTTCAGGATTTGTTTCAAGATGAAGTGCAGGAGGTTCGCAAGGTAAATCCCGATTGTGTACGAGTTCGTTGTGCTGAAACGCTCATCGTCCAAGTCGAACCAAGAGAGAAAGTACGAGAAACTGATAACCGACCTGCGGGTCAAGAAGAGCCATCTTGTTTCAGAAAACGTGAAAAACTATCATCAGATGACATTTCCAGAGCTGAACTTTGTACAGAACAAGTTCCATGCAGCCAAGTCTGTAGCAAAAGACCAAGTGCAGAAAAGTTACTTGCAGACTCCAAAATTGCGGCCAAAATCTGCCAGACTAGAGAAACCACAGGTCGGGAGAGAACAAGGTTTTTCAATGCGACTGAACTTCTGCATGGATGCAGGATGAAGGTCCGGACTCGGGGAGTCAAAGCAAAGTCAAGAAGATTAAGGTGAGCATATCACCGTCCTCTCCGACAAAAGCTTTGCTCTGATCGATTTCCCGTAGAGTTCAGCATCAATTTCGAAGGTAGCTTAATCGCCGTTTGCCTATAAATTTTGGAGTGCCATTTAAACTGATTGACTATTTGGGTGGCAGCGTGCGATCTCCAGCTCAAAAACTGGATCCAATCGGAGTAAAGTACGTGTGTCTTTCATTCGTGTATTCGCGTTGACACTTGAAATAGATATCTGGTGAACAAGAGCCCAACTCAGCAGATGTTAAGCAACCACAGGTAGACCAAAACTCTCTTTTGAAAATTATTCCCTCACTTTGCCAATTTCATCTTTCAAGAATGAAAGCTCGGAGAACCATCCGGTAACGAAATCCCTACCTTTGTTGCTTGACCTCAAACTTTGCGTTTCCACAAAGATCAAAGATACCAATCAAAGCAGGAGCTCGAAGAGGCCAGAGAAGAAATTAAGTGATGTATTGCCTACGAAGAGCAAATCAACCAGCAAGGTGCTAGTGCCTCCTCGTCCAAAAACGGTCAATGAGAAATCGGGAAAGAGCTTGGCTGTCAAGGACCAAGGAGCCCCGGTAAAGACAAAGCTTGTGAAGGAGAAAGAGCAAGAGGTCAAGAGCAAGGCAGCTGACGAGGAGAGCAACTCCAATGTCCAACTGGAGACCCAGCTGAAGTCCGAAACTCTTTCACAACCTGCGAAGTTGCGCACAGAGCCCTCAAAACCGTCTGCTGTTGAAGAGAAACCTAAAGACAACGTTCAGCAAGAGAGCTCATCCCAGCAGGGAAAGCAAAGTGTGAATGTGGATGAGCATCGAGATGAGATGAGATCGAAGACTGGAGAGCAGGAGGGCAAGTCTAGCACAGACTCTCACAAGCGTTCTGAAATGCATGACAAGCCGTGCTCAGAGCAAATTCTTCGCGACCGTTCAGAAGATGCCGAGCAGAAGCCTCACGAACAAGACGCCAGGCGCGAGATCAAGACTCCGCAGGCGCAAGAAATGGTGACCGAGAGCAAGATAGAGCCAATGTTTGAACGAGAGATCAAGCCGCAGAAGCAGGAGCAGCAGGAGGCAGTCAAGCCGCAGCAGGAGCAGGAGCAGAAGCAGGAGGTCAAGCCGCAGCAGGAGCAGGAGGAGGTCAAGCTGCAGGAGGAGGCCAAACAGCACGAGCCGCAGCAGCAGCCTGTCAAGCCGCAGCAGCAGGAGGCGGTCCAGCAGCAGCAGCTGGAGCTGGAGGAGGAGGAGGCGGTCAAGCCGCAGGAGCAGAAGCAGGAGGAAGTCAAGCCGCAGCAGCAGCAGGAGAAGGAGGACATCAAGCCGCAGGAGCAGAAGCAGCTGGAGCAGGAGATCAAGCAGGACCACCAGCAACAGCAGGACCAGCAGCAGGAAGTCAAGCCGCAGCAGGACCAGCAAGCCGTGGTAGCGCAGTCTCAGAATGAAACTGCTTCGCATCCAGCAGACACACCCGATGCTTCGGTGTCGTCGTCTGAAGGCAAGACAGGAGGAGGAAGCTCTGGGTCAGGAGCAGCGACTTCGACGGTGAGGGGGAGGTCAAGGGAAGGAGGAGGTCTGACGGACTGTAAGCAGAAACCTCGAGCTGGAGGCAGGCAGCTGGAAGAGAGGTCGCTAAGCGGAGGCTTGGCAGGAATGTTCGGAGGGTCGACCTCGATGTTTGGGGAGCCAAGTCCATGGGGCGGGGACTTTGCGCGGAAGCTGGTAGACAAGAAGAAGGGGGGAGGAGGGGGGCCGTTCTTGAAGATGAAGGAGTCATTCAGCTTCTCGACGTCGAGGAAGCCAGGAGAGGAGGCGAAGCTTCCCTTGCACATGCGGATCAACTCGCATCGCATCGCCGGGAAGCCTCCTCCAGATCAGGTGGCGAGGTCAAGCCCAAGTCCAGCTGGGCAAGGGGGGGCAGGGGTGGCTTTTGATTCTCCCTCTGCGAAGGCTGGCTTGAAGGGGTTCGCTCAGGACGAGGGCAGAACACCTGTAGGGGAGACAATGGACGCTGTCGTCCATACAGAAGGGTTGGAGGTCGATTCCCAGGAAGAGAATGTTGCAAAGTCAGAGTCACGGGAAGATCAACAGAACGTGGCTGGCGAGCATAATGCCAAGGATTCGGAACAGGAGAAAAAAGCGAATCTTCACGATGATCCGATGAAAGAAACCATTATTAAGTCTCCTTTAGAAGCGGAAAGAAGTAAGCCTGGCGATCAAAATGTACAGGCAGCTGTAGAGGCTCAAGAACACGAATCCAAAACAGCACAGCATAGTGATAATCTAGCAATCAGGCCTCAATATCAAGAGGAGGTCAAACCGCACGAGCCACAGCAGAAGGAGGAGGAGCAGGAGATCAAGCCGCAGGAGCACAAGGAGGAGGAAGTCAAGCCGCAGGAGCAGCAGGAGCAGGATGTCAAACTGCAGAAGACGAAGCAGCAGCCGCAGGAGCAGGAGGAGGCGGTCAAGCCGCAGGAGGAGGAGGAGATCAAACAGCACGAGCAGAAGCAGGTGGTGGAGGAGGACATCAAGCCGCAGCAGCAGAAGCAGGAGGAAGCGGTCAAGCCGCAGCAGCAGAAGCAGGAGGCAGTCAAGCCGCTAGAGGAGGAGCAAGAGATCAAGCCGCAGAAGCAGGAGAAGGAGGTCAGACAGCAGCAGCAGGAGCAGCAGGAGGCAGTCAAGCCGCAGGAGCAGGATCAGGAGAAGGAGGTCAAGCAGCAGCAGGAGGTCAAGCCGCAGCAGGAGCAGGAGGAGGTCAAGCTGCAGGAGGAGGCCAAACAGCACGAGCCGCAGCAGCAGCCTGTCAAGCCGCAGCAGCAGGAGGCGGTCCAGCAGCAGCAGCTGGAGCTGGAGGAGGAGGAGGCGGTCAAGCCGCAGGAGCAGAAGCAGGAGGAAGTCAAGCCGCAGCAGCAGCAGGAGAAGGAGGACATCAAGCCGCAGGAGCAGAAGCAGCTGGAGCAGGAGATCAAGCAGGACCACCAGCAACAGCAGGACCAGCAGCAGGAAGTCAAGCCGCAGCAGGACCAGCAAGCCGTGGTAGCGCAGTCTCAGAATGAAACTGCTTCGCATCCAGCAGACACACCCGATGCTTCGGTGTCGTCGTCTGAAGGCAAGACAGGAGGAGGAAGCTCTGGGTCAGGAGCAGCGACTTCGACGGTGAGGGGGAGGTCAAGGGAAGGAGGAGGTCTGACGGACTGTAAGCAGAAACCTCGAGCTGGAGGCAGGCAGCTGGAAGAGAGGTCGCTAAGCGGAGGCTTGGCAGGAATGTTCGGAGGGTCGACCTCGATGTTTGGGGAGCCAAGTCCATGGGGCGGGGACTTTGCGCGGAAGCTGGTAGACAAGAAGAAGGGGGGAGGAGGGGGGCCGTTCTTGAAGATGAAGGAGTCATTCGGCTTCTCGACGTCGAGGAAGCCAGGAGAGGAGGCGAAGCTTCCCTTGCACATGCGGATCAACTCGCATCGCATCGCCGGGAAGCCTCCTCCAGATCAGGTGGCGAGGTCAAGCCCAAGTCCAGCTGGGCAAGGGGGGCCAGGGGGGGCATCAGAAGCTTCGGTAGAAAAACCAAACCAAAATGAAGCAAAGTCGGTGGAGAATGATAGAACCAATCTGATGGAGAAGGTGGATGCCAAGCTTCAAAGTGAGGAGACTGTGGACAAAAGTATGAGCAAGGAAGCCCCCGGGGATAACGGCGAGGAGGCTGGGAAGGACAAGGGCGAGGAGGCTGTCAAGGACAAGGGCGAGGAGGCTGGGAAGGACAAGGGCGAGGAGGCTGGGAAGGACAAGGGCGAGGAGGCTGGGAAGGACAAGGGCGAGGAGGCTGTCAAGGACAAGGGCGAGGAGGCTGTCAAGGACAAGGGCGAGGAGGCTGTCAAGGACAAGGGCGAGGAGGCTGTCAAGGACAAGGGCGAGGAGGCTGGGAAGGACAAGGGCGAGGAGGCTGGGAAGGACAAGGGCGAGGAGGCTGTCAAGGACAAGGGCGAGGAGGCTGTCAAGGACAAGGGCGAGGAGGCTGTCAAGGACAAGGGCGAGGAGGCTGTCAAGGACAAGGGCGAGGAGGCTGGCAAGGACAAGGGCGAGGAGGCTGTCAAGGGACAAGGGGCGAGGAGGCTTGGGAAGGATAAGGGCGAGGAGGCTGTCAAGGACAAGGGCGAGGAGGCTGTCAAGGGACAAAGGGCGAGGAGGGCTGTTCAAGGACCAAGGGCGAAGAAGGCTTGGAAAAGAACAAAGGGCGAAGGAGGGCTTGGGAAAGGACAAGGGCGAGGAGGCTGGGAAGGACAAGGGCGAGGAGGCTGGGAAGGACAAGGGCGAGGAGGCTGGGAAGGACAAGGGCGAGGAGGCTGGGAAGGACAAGGGCGAGGAGGCTGTGAAGGACAAGGGCGAGGAGGCTGTCAAGGACAAGGGCGAGGAGGCTGTCAAGGACAAGGGCGAGGAGGCTGGGAAGGACAAGGGCGAGGAGGCTGTCAAGGACAAGGGCGAGGAGGCTGTCAAGGACAAGGGCGAGGAGGCTGTCAAGGACAAGGGCGAGGAGGCTGGGAAGGATAAGGGCGAGGAGGCTGTCAAGGACAAGGGCGAGGAGGCTGGGAAGGACAAGGGCGAGGAGGCTGTCAAGGACAAGGGCGAGGAGGCTGTCAAGGATAAGGGCGAGGAGGCTGTCAAGGACAAGGGCGAGGAGGCTGTCAAGGACAAGGGCGAGGAGGCTGGGAAGGACAAGGGCGAGGAGGCTGTCAAGGACAAGGGCGAGGAGGCTGGGAAGGACAAGGGCGAGGAGGCTGGGAAGGACAAGGGCGAGGAGGCTGGGAAGGACAAGGGCCAGGAGGTTGTCAAGGACAAGGGCGAGGAGGCTGGGAAGGACAAGGGCGAGGAGGCTGGGAAGGACAAGGGCGAGGAGGCTGGGAAGGACAAGGGCGAGGAGGCTGGGAAGGTTAAGGGCGAGGAGGATGGGACGGTTAATGAGCACCAGCAGCAGACCGATTGCAAGCACGGGAGCGACGGGGAAAGTAATAAGATGGCAACCCAGCACTCGGGTGATAATTTGTTTCTTGTGTTTTGACCGTCCTTTCTGATCGTCTTGCAGCCCCTGATGCATCTCAACGGGTCGAGCTCTCTTCATCTCGTGCGCAAGGTGCTTCTTCTGACGCTGATGCACAGTTAATGGTTTGTTTGCGAACAGATTCAAGCCTGAACGAAAGCATCGAAGAGTTCATCGAGGAAGAGATAGAGGAAGAGATAGAAGGGCAGGAAGAGTGAAGGAGAGGAACACACGATTCTACTCTTGTGCAAGGGTCGCTTGTTCATGTTTGAAGATGTAAATTCTTGTTAAGGTTTCGTGTTTGTTTCTGTTAACTTCTGTGCCGACGAGCTTTCGTTCACTTTCATGCAGTAGGCCCATCTCCACCCTCCTCCTGCCGCAGGGACAAAGCTCGGGTCTTTCATATCACTTCCCTTGCAGTCAGCAGACAACCAGCTGAGCATGGCTTATCATCTCACCGGAACAAGATGTCATCGTTCTTAGTGACGTGCTTGATCTCTCTAGTTCGTGTGATGTGGCGCAACGTGTTCATGGATTGTTTGTATGCCTGAGCGATGTCATCACAGCTCTTCTCAACCACAATAGCTCTCACAAAGCTAGACGGGCTGAAATGAGCAATTATGTACGATCTTGAATTCTTGCACAGACTTTGTTCCAGAGCTTTGGTAAGGGTCGAGCTGCGGTATGGAATGTACACCTACAGTGAGTTGTCAACCACAGGGAAGAGCAGTTGGGAGAAGAGGCTGACTCAATACAGGACCAAGTAGAGAGGAGAGGGAGAACAGCAGGGTTAGAAGAGGGGATCGAGATGGTTTTGACCTTAGACTTCTGTCCTGCCTTCTGGCTTCGGTCTGCTTCAGCTATGGCAGCCATCACGTTGGCCCAGGCTAGCAGAGATTTCTCTTGGGTGTTTGACTTCTTGTGAATGCCCAGGGATGAGACGTGCGATCGTAGCTCGGCGTTTCCTGCTCTCCCCGTGATCTCTAGGCTTTCACTTAGAAGGTCTTGTTACCGCTGGGAGTACTTGCAAGGTCGACGAACTGAATCTTGTGTATCGGAAGGTCCCTAGTGAAGTTGGGTCAGCAGAATCGAGATGGTCTGAGTTGCTATACTCGTTTTTGGGATTGCTTCCTCGCCTGACAAACTCAACAGTGAACACTGTGTTGCTCGACAACTCCATGTAGCTGATCGATCGCAACATCTGTCGTGCCGTCAGATGTCAGACGGTATACACGTGCGTTCACTTCGATTCACCTGACTCAACATGTCTTCGCAATCAGTGATGTTTTCCAACTTCTTCTTTGTCAATCCTTCTATTGTCCCGTTGGACCGTATCTGTGCCGATTCACACAACTTGAACAAGGCAGAGGAGAGACGGGAATACTTTGAGGCCCGTGGTATGAAAATCTCGTTTGAGACAGTCGAAAATCTGTTGTCAAGGTCACCACTGTACAATCTTGCTGTTCCTGGCATCTCACATTCTCATTTTGAACTTCGTAGAAAGAACCAAATATATCATAAGCATCATGTAAATTATCTTCTGTTGCAATTCTGAAACATATCGACAGTGAGCTGGACAAAGGAGATATCATATTGCACATTGTTTCAAGGAGTCGAGGGATCAACCCTGGGTCTTTCTCTTGTCCTTGATCAGGTTGTCAGCTATTCAGAAGAGAGAGGAGCTTGCTCTACCTATGAACGTGTATGTCTTTCCTGTCTGAGTGTGTCCATGGGAGAACACACACACGTGATATCCTTTTAGTGCATCGCTCCTAGTCCGATGTGAGCACAGCAACATGCAATCATTCAAACATTCTCTCTCACAGAATCCTCGTTCCAAGTTGCTGAAACAAAATCTCGTTGTCCGCATTCTCTGGGCTGGCAGATCACAGGAGATCAGTTGACTTACTCTCACATGTTGGGGTTTGACCTGTCGGGGTTTGACGAATCAAAACAAAAATCGAGGTCGTGAACTTTCTTTTCCTCCGTCTCTGGATTTGACAAGGTAACGCTCGTGTCAGTTACTGTGATACATCTGAGAGACTCGTCAGGTAACAGCATCCGCACGCTACTAGTCCTGCCTGCCAGGTCCCAGGCTTTGCTCCCTCAAATTGATCGGGCGAATTCTCCCCACCAGGTAGACATTTCGCTCCATGCTCCCCTGGGGTAGCATGACGGCCTGTATAAACACTTCAGTTGGACTAGGTGAGCTCTGACTTATCACTTGCATGTTCCCTCCACCTCCTGCTCCACTTCCTTCCCCAACCTCAACTCCGACCACAAGTTCAGATTTTACTCCAGCAGCAACGAAATCTTATGTTCTCTACCTATCTCCCTCCTGTCTCTCTCTTCTCCTTCTTACGTTTGCCTCTCCCTTTCTCCTCCTCGTCTCGCCCTTCCCTTTCACCCCTTCCCCTCCATCCCCCCCACTAACTAGCATGTCTCTTCCTCCCCCCAAACAGTCTCCGTGGCCCTACTCAGGTCGACTCCTTTTTTTATATATTGCATGGGGGAGGGGACGGGGGGGGGGAGGCGAGGACGGGGAGCTAGTGCGTGCAAGCCCCCGGGACCGAGTTCTCGAGGACGAGCATGCCGACATTCATCAAGACTCCCACGGCCATGGCGAGCGTCTCCAGTAGCGTCGTGCTAAACGTCGTGTCCTGCCTCGAGGGCTCAGAGGGTCATTGGGGCTCAGCGAGCTGACCTGAAGCATAAGGGGGATGATGTCGACTGTCGCCACGTAGATGAAGCCGCCAGCTATGAAGCCCTATGTCGATCGTCATGACATGCTCTCCCATATTCTGCAGGAAATGTACCTGCATACCCTTCAGCTGCTGGAGCTGCAGTCCAACCACACAGCCAAGGAGGGCGCCCATCGCTGAGCCCCACTGCAAGGTGATGAGTAAGCAGTAAGGAGGAGGAGGAGGAAAAGAATAATCGCGCACCTGTGCCCACAAGGCAGAGCTGTGGCTAAACCCATTCTGAATCAAGATCGCAAAGTCTGCAATGTTGTGCGGGACTTCGTGGAAGAAGACAGCTACGAGGCCATGAGATCGTGTAACAGTACAGTTGAGATGCATCACCTAGTGTTGTTGAGATTCCATGTCCCTGCCATGCAACTGTTGTCACCTTCTCTCCATGTTCCCTCCCAGGTCACCTTTCCAAAAGCGACCCCCAGCGCTAAGCCATCCGAGAAGTTGTGAAGAAGATCTGCTAAGAGATTCAAGTACCTGCTTACGTGTCATCGAGAACCAACAGGGACGAAAACACTCACGCAGCAGGCTTCGCATTGAATTTCAACATTTCTTTCGGGAGATTCATCAGTGATTCGCAACGATTGCAGATAGCTTCATATCTGGAAGCAACCATCAGCTGTCGCCGCATGCACATGAGAGATGGGATTACGCTTGGCTCTGCAACGCAGCCAACCTCTGTCTGAACGGTCTCGAACAATCCCCCTCTTCCACACTCATGTCAGACCTTTCAACAAGACTCCAGAGTACCTCCAGCAGTGGGGTTGGCTGCGGCAGGCTCTTCTGAAGTACACTTGTTGACACACTGTTCACCGTCAGCCGAGTACTAAACACACAAACAAGAGTCACCTTGACGACATGAGTCCGACCTGTGTCACAGGCAATAACGTGCGAATGAGAGTGAGAATGAGTATGCGAATGTTGGTGGCTCCCGTTCCCTGCAGAACGAGGGAATCAGCTGCTGCTGGAGCCATCCATGAGCATATCGTTCCTGTCAAGGCCGCCATGAACTTCTCTGCTAGGTAAAACATGAGCATGCCCACTAATATTGGGATCCCAGTGTTCAGTGCCTGAGACAAGTAGAAGTCAAATCGGCTTCGATCATCATTCAGAGGGAAACAATTCTGCTTGTTTAAGAACCAGCAGCATGTTCTGTACTTCGTCAACGAGTCATACCTGGCTGACACCATCAGCATCCGAATGCGCATGTGCTGAAGCGTGAGGGAGCATGTGCAGGAACACATCACCAAGAAGTCCTCCAACAGCAAAGCTTATGAGCATCTGACAATCAGTGAGAGGGAGCGAGTTGAAAGAATCAGCTACCTTGAGGAGCAAGCTGTTGTTTATGTTGATTGGAGGGGGTTCTTCATGGTGTGCAGTGTCATGGGGTGCGTGAGCTCCAGTGTTTTGCAGAAAAGGCAGGAAGGGCATCACAAACAAGCTGCTGCAACTCACGAAGACCGTCGCAAGTAGCGCGGAATGGGATGGCCACTTTGTTGTCCAATGCTGTAAAGTTTTCCACCAGAGCAACCCTTCCATGAGATCTGTGTGGCCATGGGAGTGGCCGTGATCATGCTCATGCCCGTGACTATGCCCGTGGCTGTGCCCATGCTCCTCGGCGTAGGAAGTTTTCGAGAACAATGAATAAGATAACAAAAAATAGATCCAGAGCGCCGCAGATTTGAGGGGAGTGAAAAATTTCCTGGTCCCTCCTCCTCTCAAGTGTAGGCTGGCAGGTTTTTGGTCGATCAATTCATTCGTGGATACAAGTCGTTGTTTCTGAAATCATGACCTTCAGTATGGCTGGCACACACCAACCGAAGGACCTGAAAGGTGAGACGAGGTCGGGGATCTGGTCTTCTCGCATCATGCACTCTCACCAACCCCTGTAAATTGTGAGATGCGAGGACGATGAACAAGAGAATCCTCCCAACCTCTGAATACGATGCAATGAGAATCAAGCCAGTGAAGGCCATGCGAAGGGAACATGCTTTCCGCATTCCTTCCGGCGCCCTGGCACACTCCTCTGAGAAGCAATATAAGTCAAAGGTACATACACAAGGATTCAACTTGATTATCATTCTACCTTCTATCCCTCGTTCCCACTACTTCTCGCTCCTTCTTCCGGTCCCATTCTCCCAGCTCCCTCTGCCCATCCTGCCCCAGTCTCACCTCCCCTTCGACTGCGAACCTGGTCCATCGCACATTCCTTCTACATTCCTTCTACATTCAAATCATCTGAGGGGAACAGATATATTCCTTCTACATTCAAATCATCTGAGGAGAGCAGGTATATATTCCTTCTACATTCAAATCATCTGAGGAGAGCAGGTATATTTTCCTTCTACATTCAAATCATCTGAGGGGAGCAGATATATTCCTTCTACATTCAAATCATCTGAGACGACCTGTGTGTTTGTGTGTATGTGGGTGGGTGGGGGGGGGGGGGGGGGGTTGTGTGTATGTGGGTGGGTGGGGGGGGGGGGGGGGGGGGGTGCAGCCCACGGGCCGTCGCTCGCAGAGCTGGCTTGGGGCGCAAGGGGAGCATGGCCGGGGAAAGAATGAAACCCGCCTCGGAGCAATGGCAGTTGCTGAAAAGAGTCCTTCCCTCCAAGAAAACCTCAGTAGCCCCTTCCTGAGGCGAACTCACTCTTACTCCCCGGCAGGCCCGGCGGGCCCGGCAGTCCCCGGGAGCCCGGGAGTCATGTGACTGGCCGTTTGCCTTCCCTAAAACTTATTTTGGACCTTCCGCGTGCCGTAGTGTTGGGAGAATATTTTACGACTGAAAGTACAGAATTTTAGTACCGCTGCGAGAGCTGTATTGATATCAATATCAAAATTTAGCACTTCTTGTAGCAGGGTAGTTTCAATTTTACAATTTCTCCTAATAAAAATTTTAATATATAAAGAATAATGTTACTTTTTTATATTATATTATATTTCAGTACACTTTTTTAGAATGCTTGGTACAACTCGCAGACCTCTCTTCACAAACTCTGTACTAGTTTTAAAACACTTTGAGCGGGAGAGCGGCTGCAGGTTGGCGGGAAAATGACGACCATGCTGGGAGGGACCGGAGGCATCGCTCTGACGGAGCTGCTGAAGGACGGACACAAGCACTTCCAGGGTATCGACGAGGCTGTTGCCAAGAACATCGAGGCATGCAAGAAGCTCTCGACCATCACCCGCACCTCCATCGGCCCCAACGGCATGAACAAGATGGTTGTGAACCACCTGGGCAAGCTCTTCGTCACCAACGACGCCGCGACCATCGTGAAGGAGATGGAGGTTAGCTGTTGTGATATGACTTTCATACATCTCTTGTCTTGGACCTTGTCTATCTCCTCACACTCCTTGTCCTCAGGTCATTCACCCAGCTGCCAAGCTCGTTGCTCTTGCATCGCAGACGCAGAAGGAGGAAATCGGTGACACAACAAACTTGGTTGTTGTTCTTGCCGGAACTCTACTGGAAGGAGCCGAGGCTCTGCTCCGTCAAGGTTTGCCCATCGCAGATATTATCGCGGGATACACCAAAGCCTATCGTGCCTGCCTTACACACATTGATTCACTCAGCGTCAAGAGCATTGAAAACATTCGCAGTGAAGAGGAAGTGTCCAATGCGCTCAGAGCAACTGTCTGCTCCAAGCAGAATGGACTTGAAGACTTTCTCTGCCCCTTGATTGCCAAAGCTTGCGTTCAAATTGTTCCCAAGGAAGCAAGTCAGTTCAACGTAGATAATGTCAGGGTTGCCAAAATTCAAGGAATGTCAGTTTATGATTCCTTCCTTGTGAAGGGATTTGTATTGACCAGAGATTCAGAGGGCACTATCAAGCATGTCACAGATGCAAAGATTGTTGTGTTTGGTACTGAGGTCGATCTTTCTGCTACCGAGACGAAGGGCAACGTGCTGATCAAGAATGCTGAAGAGCTGATGAATTACTCGAAGTCGGAGGAGGAGGCAATCGAGAAGATTGTACAAGAGATTGCAGCAACTGGTGTGAATGTGTTGGTAGCACAATCTACTATCAGCGAGATGTCCCTGCATTTCTTGGAGCGAGCGAAGATCATGGTTATTAAGTGTCCTTCCAAGTTCGAAATTGCTCGCTTGTGCAAGCTTTCTGGAGCGACTAGCCTTGCTCGCTTTGGTGCCCCACTTCCAGAAGAAATCGGAAAGGTATGAGCATAATCTACTTGGAACTCTGAGAGATGACTTGTGTGTCACTTGCAGGCGGATCGTGTTTCTGTTGATGAACTCGGTGGACAGCCTTGCACCACATTTGTCAGGGATTCGCTTGAGCAAACGAAGGTCTCCACCATTATCCTGCGTGCCTCCACTTCGAACCACCTGGACGATCTTTCACGTGCAATTGATAATGGAGTGAACATCTACAAGCAGGTGATCGATTTGCTTACCACTCTCTTTTCTGAACGTGACGTGTACAACAGATGACCAAAGATTCACGATTTGTTGCTGGCGGCGGTGCTTGTGAATTGCGCATGGCAGCACATCTGAAAGAAATGGGGGGCAAGACTCCTGGGTTGGAGCAGTATGCTATCAAGAAGTATGCAGAGGCGCTCGAGACAATACCAAGAACTCTGGCGGAAAACGCAGGCCAGGACACAACATCCACGGTATTTGATCTTCTTGGATTGCAAAGAATATGCTGGCGTTAATCATCTTCTCACAGATCTCAAATCTGTATGCTGATCACACAGCGGGTAAGTTGAACCATGGAATCAACATCGATAGCCCGGGGACAAGGGACATGCTTGAGGTTCTTTGCCTGCGCTGTTTTCCTCCACCTTCTAAACCTGTTTCCCCAAGGCAAGCATTCTCGATCATCTGGTATCCAAGAAGGAAGCCATGAGGCTTGCATCCGAGGCTGCGATCACTGTGCTGCGGGTGGACACGATCATGTAACTCCTTGTCGAACATCACGTTGGCTGTGAAACTGAATTTTCTCCCAGTATGGCAAGGCAGTCTGGAGGACCGGATCCCAACAGAGCCCCGGGATAATTCAGGGATGTATGATTTCAAACATTTGCAATGCATTTCTTGTTGAAAGGAGCTTATCCATGTCGCCTTTGTCAAACATGCTGCATCCACGCAAGTAACTATATTTCACATTCTTTGTACAACCGCACACAAATACACGAAGAATTAGAATACAACAGCTTTGAGCTGTAGATGAGGGTAAGAATCCTTGATCAGCAATCACGCTGTCCCTATTGTAGCATCGGAATCCCTGCATGCAGGAAGAAGTCATTCAATTGTGTAAGAACAGCCACGTTTCTTACATTATTGTAACAACCCAGTCCTCCTTCGTCATACTGGCTTTCATCAACAGTGATTTTCCTTCTTTGTACTTTTGACTTGCTTCGAAAGCTTCTTTGTACTTCCACCCAAGGTATTCATGGCAGCAATTACAATAAATGTCTTGAACCTTTCGGGATAAAATGAATGCTTCAGGAGAAGTTTAGAACACTACAGCATTACCGTATGCATTCCCGTATTCATCAGTCGATCTTCCAAAGGCCCGAAAGAAATGTTGACCACCTTGTCAAAAAGATAGGCTCGTCCTGTTCTGCCTTGGAAGGATGTAGAGATTAAAGCTTCGTGGTTGGTCAAGTGGGCATGGCAGTTGCCGCAAGAATAGATGCGGTTCCCAGGCAGATACACTTTGTGGATGCGGCCCATGTTTCGAGACCCTGCTAAGCAGCAAACATCACAACAAGCGAGAGGGTAGCATGCTCGAGAGAAATGGTGACTAAAGATAGACAGGAGGGTCCAAGCTCGATCAAGTACATCAATGTGTCACCATCCCGTCCACCCATCTATCACTCACAACCTAGATGGAATGCAGAAGAAAGGGAGCAACACACAGCCCTCGCTCGTAACAGACAGTATGAGGAGTACGAGGAATCATCATAGCGTTGAGAAAGAGGAGCCAGCATCTACTCGCTTCATGCTGCAAGTGCTTCAAGTGCAGGAGCCAGCATCTACTCGCTTCATGCTGCAAGTGCTTCAAGTGCAGGAGTCGGCATTGGCACCAACATTGACCCAGCATGGAGCCGGCAAAGTGCAAGAAGGATACTGGTAGCAAGGGTGGGGTAGTTTTCCTCATCAATCTATGGGTACTTATTGAAGTGAAGTGTGAACCAGAAAGATGGACTACCAGTCCCTTTTTTTTATTTTTTACTGTTTTTACTACCATCATCAAGTCGTTTTTTTGACAAGGACCTTCAAGGGCAGGAGGCATGGCGGCAGCCCGGACTCCATGAAGGAAGCCCCCGCAGGCTCCTGCTCCTCCTTCTCCTTCCCCTCCTCCTGCCCCTCCCCCCTCCCTTCACTTTCTGTGCTTCAGACGATGTCGTCTGTCTGTCTCCCTCCCTCTCTTAGTGCCCTCTTGGTAGTTACGCTGCCCCTCCTTAGTAGCAGTCAGAGATCATCATCGTTAGAGTCAAACGTAGTGAAACCATGGCGTCACATAGAGCGTTCAGGGTTAGGTACTGCCTACAGGATCTGATCTGACATCCGATGAACACTCCGGCCCCCCTCCTCTTCATCCTCTTCCTCCTCCTCGCCCTCACTCCATGCGAATCGTTTTCTTTTCCGAGCAGCGACCTGCTGCAGCAACATCCGGTGTTGAGTCAGCAAAAGCTGGATTGCGGTATCGACATCCAGGGGCCTTCATGGCTACTGCAGCTGGACTTTCGTGTGAAGTTCAAGAACGGCTCGTGCGCGCTTGGCCATGTCTGCATTGAGGATCAGTTTCGCAACCAGTTGTTGAACTCGTCGAGCAGACTGCATCAGGTCCTGAAGAATGGAAAGTTTGCTAAGCTCCTCTCCAAGGTTGGCGAGAAACAGGGACTTGTCCCTCTCCCTACTCAAAATTCTCTTCTGTACGAATACACGCACTCGTCAAGGAGACTCCTGCAAACCACGACGACCACCGATACTCGATCGAGACAGTTGATAATCTTGCAGATTGCAGTCCTTTTGGGTGTGCGACAAGTAGGTTTCGCCACCTTGCAAAGTCTTGGCGATCTGATGTCTTCGGTGATTTCCTTCTCAACCCTGTGCTTGCTGCTCCTAACTTTGAGGGGTGACAGGTGAAGTACAGCACACTCGGAGCTCTCAGCGACCTCACCCCGAAGCTTTCGAGTATTTCGTCTGCAGACGCCATCAAAGAGCAGCAGAAGATCCTCACGTTTCTCAGCTCAGTGATTGACCGCCTGACTGTGCTTCAAGAATGCCCCGACCAAGGCATACAAGACCTGATAGATGTGACGAGTATCCTCCTTGGGGTCGCATACTGCTCCGTGATCCAAGTTCGGGATGCCACCTCTGCGATAGATTGGGCCGGAGTTGCGATGAAGTTGGATTGTCTTCATGAGAACATTCAGGACGCCACGTACCCGTTGGTTGACCGTCTGAGTTACATCCAGGCGAGAGATCGAATCTGACGTGCTGTCTGACCCCTTGACGTCTCTGCGCAGGCACTGGCCAACAGGACTGGGATGTTCGTAACCAAGTGCAAGCAGGCCAAGTTGAGCCCTTCGAACCTCCTGCTTCCGCTGCAACCCATACTCGTCGACACCGACATTCCCATCTCCACTGTCCCTCTGGACGGATCTCTCTCCCCCGTGATCTCAAGTTGGATGCGATCTACGAACCGTCAGATCACCGTCAAACCTGCGCATCTCGACGCTAACGGGAACTGGCTGATCCCTGGAATAGATGTCACTATTGTTGTGATGAAGGGAAATCTCTCATGCTCATCGGCCATCTGCGACGAGTACACCTACGTGACCGTTGCAAGCTACGAGCCCAGTCTCAGCCCCTTCGCTCCCTATGAGCCCTCGTACCCGTCTTCAAGCCCCTTTGTGGACGACCTGAATCCTTTCATCGGTGACTTGCTCACCGAAGTTCACATTCTCAAGATGGATGGAGGGCCCTGGGAGGAATGGAGGAAGAGCGGGTCGCTCAGCGTGCAGGCTTACTTCAATCAGATCCGGTCAAACGCAGACACTCTGACTACAGAAGTGACTATCCCAACATGCGTCCAATTTGTACAGAACAGCACGAGGTGGACCGACGAGGGCTGCAGATGTCTGGACGCAGCCTGTCAGCAGTGCAACTGCACGTATGCCTCCCTCATCATGCCCGGGGCCAACAACGGCACTGCCAGCTACCAGGACTTCATCTCCATCGCCGTCCGCCGCCGCAAGTGGTGCGCTTCCACGTACGGGGTCGTCTGCTCGGGCCATGGAGTTTGCGTCTCGGGGGCGTGCGTGTGCAACTCGGGCTTCGCAGGGCAGAACTGCAACAGCACCTGTTTGGACTGCAACGGGCACGGAACCTGCTCGCCGACTGACGGCCGATGCATCTGCGATCCCGGGTACGCGGGGGTCGGCTGCAGCATCAGACCCGTCGTGCGATTTGTCGTCCCCCTCTTCTCCAAGCCCGCCGGGGGAATCACAGTGTCAGTGATCGGGGAAGGATTCGGCAAGACGGACCCGTCGCCCGAGATCAAGATAGGCAACTCCTTCTGCAGGTCCTCCACCTGGCAGTCCCCAACCATGATCCGCTGCATGCTCTCTCCTGGTGTGGGGGAGATGCTCAGCGTCTCCATCTTCGCCGGAGGAGTCTCCGACAGCACGGGCGGCATGGACTCCCTGCTCTTCTCCTACTCTGCTCCTGTCATCACCGGGCTGGAGCGGCAGGGCGGTCCAACCACGGGAAGGTACGTGCTGACCATGTACGGGCAGAACTTTGGGACCCACTGGAACGATAAGATCCCCTTTGACGGGAAGGTGAAGCTCAACGTTACCCTCTGCTCCCCCTCCCAGTGGATCAGCGACTCTACCATCCGATGTGCGGTACCTCCAGGACAGAGTCGCAACGTCCCCGTCCTCGTAGAGATACCAGCAGACCAGCCGCGTGACAAGTGCGACGGCTACTACATAGGCAGGACGACCAACATCGATGACCCGCGGGTCATCAGGTGCGGCATCTGCCAGGGCTGCTACGTGTTCAACTACGATGCTCCAGTCATCACAAGGCTGGCGGCGGGGATCAACAAGGCCCCAGAGACCTACCTCTTCCGAGGAGGCGAGATCCTGACCATCTTCGGCTCCAACTTCGGCATCGATGCTTCAGTTGCCGTTGGCCCTGATCCCAACACTGGAGAGACATACTACTGTGTGTTCCAGCGAAACTTCGTGGTCAACACGGCCGACTGCCCCAATGCTGAGTGTCTGTTCTGCAAGCTCGGGCCAGGAGGAGGAGCGTACCCTATCACCGTCTGGCTGGCTGGGCAGAAGTCACAGTACGACCTGCCCTTCAAGTTCAGAGGGAGGGCGGTGGGGCTCAAGTTCCAGGAGACTCCTTCGCTGACCGCGACCCTCGCCGGGGTCATCGAGAAGCAGCCGAGGCTCAAGGTGATCGACGACCTCGATGACAACCAGCCTCTCCTCAGACCCGACGCCGAGTACAACTTCCCCTACTGGCAGGGCCCTGCTGGCACGTTCCAGGAGTACAACCCCGACGGTTACATCTGTCGTGTTGACATCAGCCTGCTGCCCGACCCCAGCAAGCCCTTCCCCAACCCCTGCACCCCGCAGTGGGAGGCAATCATCCAGCAGGACCCGAGCAAGGTAGGAGGAGACAAGGATGCGTGCAAGCGCTGCTGACCGCCTGATGACAGGTCGGAACGTTTCCCTGCTTCGAGAAGGACCAGCCTCTCAACAGAAACTACAAGAGAGGCACGGGGCTGCAGGACAAGGTTCTGTTCAAGGCCTCTGACAACGGCATGGCGACGTTCTCGGACCTCGAGTTCTTGGGCCATCCAGGGCAGCAGTACAACATGACGTTCAGCATCTCTGATCTCGGGAACAGCTACGTGACCAAGAAGAGTTTCTACACCAGCTGGGTCATCACCTTCGATGACTGTCCTGCCGGGCAGATCGGAACGTGGGACAGGTTGTGCGAGTGCGCCAAGGGCTACGAGCCGGGAGGAGCAACGGGGTGTCAGCGATGCGATGGAGGGCAGGCGAAGAACGAGGGAGGACAGTCGGACGAAGCAGGATCGTACAAGCCGACGACGGGACAAGCGTCATGCACTAAATGTCCGTCTCAAAACATGATCACGAGCAATTCAACGACGAGGGACAGCGTGGGGACTTGCTTCTGCGCTTCCGGATACTTCCGAGCCGCCATCATCTACGACTACAACGCGAGTTACACGCCCAACGTTCCGTTCGGGTTCGACACGGCGGCGAGCGGAGCTGGGGACGAGCTGTGCGGGGGTCCGGGGAGCAGCCAGGTCCTGCCAGGGAACGGCAACGACACGACGATCCTGTGCCTGGACTCCATCGAGTTCGAGTCGGTGGACTGCGGGAGGGTGCGGGGGCACATCGTCAACAACTTATGGGTGTCGGTCAAGCTTGAGACGGCAGGTGCCTGCGACCAGCAGTACAACCCCAAGATCTGCACAAGCTGCAAGTCCAAGACCGGCTGCCGGGGCGACTCGTACGGGGTGGGGACGCAGGGCTGCAACGTCCATCACAAGGGAGTCATGTGCCAGTTGTGTGAGCGAGGGTACTACCTCAGCTCCTCTGCCTCCTGCATCAAGTGCCCGAGCCAGCAGACCTATGCTCTCACCTTCGGCCTCGGAGCCTTCGGCCTGCTCGTGGGAGGCTTCATCGCCCTCCGCTACCTCGCGCTCATCAAACTCCTGGCCGACCCCCCCAGCGTCAAGATCTTTGCGGCCTACCTTATCATCACCTCCTCCATCTCCTCCTCCTACGACGTCCAGCTCCCCTCCAGCTACTCCAGCTACCAGTCACAGACGGGGTTCGCCCAGCTGGACATCTCGGGCGTACTGTACTGCATCATCCAGTCGTTCGAGTACACCTTCTATCACAACGTGGTGCTGCAGGCGTCGCTCCCCTTCATGATCATCTTCCTGGCTCAGACGGCCCTGACCGTCCGCTACTCCATGATCTCTACTCACTTCGCCGCCAAGCGCAAGGCGGATCGACGGGGTCTCAACACCGACAAGATCAACACGCAGGAGAACTCAGCGAAGACGAACGTGAAGGAGATGGTGATCTCGGGGTCTTCGCAGGTTCTTATGTTCATCCATCCTACTGTCACGACCACCATGTTCTCCATGTTCTCCTGCACTCCGATCTTCGGATACAACCTCCCATGGCTGAGGATCGATGTTCGATACCAATGTTACGATACGAGGTAAGTCCCTCCCCTCTCCCTTCCTCTCCCCTACTTGACCTCACCGCCTTCCTCTCTGAAGCGTGACCTCACCTTCTCTTCCTCTCCCCTACTTCACCTCACCGCCTTGCCTCTCTGAAGCCTGACCTCACCTTCTCTCGCAGCTGGTGGATCTTCTGCTACGTTGCTCTCTCTGTCATCTGCGTTTACACCTTCGGGCTTCCGTTCCTCTTCTTCGTGCTCCTTCAGAGGAGGCGACATGCCCTGGAGGAGTCGAAGGCGGTTGTCAGGAAGAGGTACCAGAGCTGGATGAAGTCGCTCAAGCAGAAGGCGGCGAATGCAAAGCTGGCGGTGATGCGAGGAGAAGTACCTGAGCCCCTCAAGGATCCTGAGGAGGAGGAGATTGTGAACCAGGACATCAAGGTCGTCTACGACATGTACTACTCGTGCGTTCGCGAGTGGCAGGAGCTTCTCTTCCTGCATCGCGACTACACGCTCGCGAGGTTCTATTGGGAGTTGGTGGAGATTGCGAGGAAACAAGCGCTCGTTGCCTTCGTCGTTATCATCGGGAACTTTGCCAAGGGGTTTGACCTGGTCTTCGGAATTCTCGTGCTGTTTGTCTTCTTTGCGGTCCATCTCTACGCTCTTCCTTACAAGAGAGGCAAGCACAACTTCCTCAAGGCCGCGGAGATGTTTGCCGAGTACATGACTCTCTTCCTCACCCTCCTCATCTTGCTCGCACAGGTGAGATGACGATGATCGAGGGTGGAGGAGAAGGAGAAGGAGAAGGAGAAGGAGAAGGAGAAGGAGAAGGAGAAGGAGAAGGAGAAGGAGATCACGGGAGGGCGAGCAACAGGCGCGGGGAGAGAGGAGGAGAGGAAGTGACGTCAGTGAGCAGGTCAACCCTGAGATGCAGCCCGAGACGGTAGGAAAGGCGATGTTGGGGCTGCAGGGCCTCCTTTTCGGAGGAGGCGTCTGCGTGCTGTTTGTGAATCTGCGGGAGGGCATCGAGGAGCTCAAGAAGAAGAAGGAGGAGGAGGAGGGGCTGGGGATCGTGCAGAAGGTTGAGAGGCACAGCATCTACTCCGTGTTTTTTGCCATCAACCTGTTGAGCCGTCTGATCCGGCGGAAGGAGGCAGAGCGAGCATCGAGGAAGGGCGTCACAGTGCACGAGGAGAAGGAGACGATCGACCTCGATGGCTTCAAGCCTCAAGTCCAGAGGAGGTGAAGGGGAGGAGGAAGGGATTGAAGAAGGGTTGACTTGCAACGAGCAGGTGGAACACGTTGACGGCTTCACTCCTTGCCGCCTCCGGAGACGAGGCCATGCTGCTCCTTCAGTATGCCCTACAGCAGAAAGAAGACGAGGGAGAGGACAGCGAGGAGATGGAGGCATCAGAGCAGGTTCGTCCCCTGCTCCTCGTCCAGCACTCTCTGACTCCCCGCAGATCTCCGAAGGCTCCGTCTTCTCGAGCGAGCACTTCACCGACGAGATTTCAGAGGCAGAGGTCCGTCGAGAGGGGTGGGGAAGGGTAGAGAGTTCGGGAAGAAGAAGCAGGAGAGAGACGCAGGAGCATGGACAGGGGGAGGAAGAGAAGGGAAACGACAGGAGGAGGAGGAGGAGGAGGAGGAGGAGGAGGAGGAGGAGGAGGAGGAGGAGGAGGAGGAGGAGGAGGAGGAGGAGGGATTCACGCGGTTTGTACAGCAACGAGAGCTGCAAACACTTCAAGATGTCGAGGACGACGACGACGACACGGACGTGAGACATGGAGCGATCTCATCTGCTCCTCCTCTTACCTTTTTCCTTTCAGATCTCAGACGACGACTCCCACACCAAGTTCGCGATCACCCCAGGTGAGTCCACCTCCTCTGTTCGCGTCTGTGATGGTGAGGGACAGGAGGCGGAGTGTTCAGCGAGGAGGGGGTTGGTATCGATCGGCTCGACCAGTAGCTCCACCTTCATCGAACAGCAACGAGATGCTCGACGAAGGCAGCAAGCAGGATGAAGAGAACAGAGAAAGGGGAGGATACACAGAAGCAGCAAGGGACGAGATCAGATCTGCAAACTTCGCAGTGCTTCCTGGGCGTCTCGGGCCGCCGCCGCTGCCTGCAAGAGCTTGCTCAACGACACAAAAGAGAGGAGAGGGAAAATCATACTTCTGCTTCATCCTGCGATAGCCGGCGAGCCAGATCTCTGTCCTTGATCGCCTTCCAGGTTGGACCGAACATCTGAGAGGAGTTCAGGTCATACAGGGCAAGGTTCGTGTACAGAGCTAACCTCGTCTCCGCCGTGCACGGGGATGAGATGATGATGAAGCACTTCAGCCAGCAGCTGCGCCTTCTCCTCGTGCACCTGCAAGTATTCACAAGGTTAAATCATGTTATCGATCTTCACCAGCCTTCTCCCCTCCCTCTGCTCCCTCTCCCTCCTCCCCTCCGTCCTCCCGCTTTCTCACCACAAACGACATCGCCACGTCCTCGCTGGAAGCCGAAACCATGAGCACCTGTCTCTGCCCATCACCAACTGAACGTCGCCATCCTTCTTCCTCTACTTCACCTGCATCCCCTCGAAGGCGCTCATCGCCTTTCCGAGGTCAGGGAGCCTCTCACGGATCCTCCGTCCTACGACCGTCACCACTGCTACATGATAGCAGACCTCCACCTCTCCTGCTCAAACTGTCAACCAGAGCAAGGAAGTCGATCGTGTCGCACCCAACTCCTCCAAAGCTTGCATGAGACCCTTGAACGCGTCTCCCTCGATGCCTCCAGGGATGTGAGAGGTGGTTACACTGATGCCGGACTGCGAGGTCGCCACGTGGTCCACACTGATGGAGAAATCATGGAAAGGAGCGAAGCAACGATACAAGAAGCCAGTCGCTCCCCACATCTCCATGGTCGTCAGGGTCAGCATGACGCAGCCCGGTTGAGCAACAACGCCAGCAAAAGCCGGAGGACGAGTATCAAGCTCGGTCAGGTCGTTGTGCGTCATTCTTCTAATTCCCATCCCACTGGTTTTGGGACCAGCAGAGTTCCAGCCAAGAGCGGATGGACCGTTACGAGGAGATGCGAAGGGTGACTGCGAGAGAGGCGATCGGGAAGCCGAGTTCTGAGCGTCTTTCTTCATCCCTCCGTTCTTATCTTCGCAGGGCTTGCAAAAGTCGTCAACGGTGATGACAGTGTACTCAGAATCCGGATCCATGGTGTTGCGAATCTCGATAGGGACACCGTACATCGCAGCAGGTGCGATGCATCGAGGGTGGAGGACCTTAGCTCCCGATGTCGCCAGCTCTTGAGCTTCACGACTGCTGATTCTTTGAATCAACCTCGCATGCGGCATTTTTCGTGGATCCCCTGAAAACATGCCATACACGTCCGTCCAGATCTCGAGATGGTGAGCGGATACCAGAGCAGCAAAGAGAGAGCCTGACGTGTCACTTCCTCCTCGCCCGAGCAAGCAGCTCTCGCCCTTGGCATTCTTTGCTACGAACCCTTGGGTGACGATGACGTCAGCGGGCCCGACCTTGCTCTCTATCACAGTTTCTGCCCACACGGGGTCACATTTGGGGAAGACGTTTGCGTTCAAGTATTTGTCGGTATCAGGAGCAGTGAGATGGGTATCAGTCACCAGCAAGTCGCCAGCTTGAACGAGAGATGCTTTGATGTTGTTGTGCTTCAGGATCTGGATCGCCAGTCTCGTGCTCATCTGCTCTCCGTACGAACAGATCCTCGCTTGCAGCTTGGGTGAAACCTCTTGGATCATGCTGAGGCCTTGCAACAGGTCTCCAAGCTCAGTGATGCGTTCGGTCACTTCTCGCAGGGCAGATGATTCCAATCCACATTCCTTGGCCAGCCTGCGATACGGTTCAGTCAAAATGGGTGTTGGTGTATCTGAAGATGAAACCTTCTGTGCGTCTCCTCCACCCAAGCCAAAGAAGTCAATTCTTCTTGTCCGACTGCTTCCTGCAGACACTTCTCGAGGCGATTTGTCACCTTCAAAGTCGATAAGCCATGATTCGAAGGCAGGACACATGGTACCTGACTCAATGCCGAGAGAACCAAAATGATCCTGTAATCCGGGAGAAGCTGCTTCACTCGATTTACGATCTGTATCCAACTCGTTCCGAAAGACACGGAGGTTCCGCCGAACTTGAGCACTACCCATGGCTTCTTGCCTACGATTCTTTCTTCATGCGCGTCTCCTGCCGAACCTTCTGCATCTGATCCCATCCTGTTGGACAAAAACAATATCAGAGACGATTCACGTTTCACGACATGCTGCAAGACGACATGCATTCATCTCTGCGTCTCTTTGTTATCCATCCTTATCAACTACCCAGAAGCATGGAGCTCCCAATTGTGTCCTCGCTGTCACAATTGATCCCATTCCTCCCTGTATAGTCAACACGATGTACCTCTTACAGTCATCAAGCATTGTTATCATTGTGATCATCAGCTCATATGCTATACTTTCTCCTCTCCTCTCCTCCCTTGCTCTCATTTTCCCTGTTCCTTGTTCGTCTCGAAGTTTCGCTCCATCAAAAATTGCGCGTGTTGAGGCCGATTCCCCAATCTACAACCCCCTACCCCTTCTTATTTATCTACACCCCATCCATACCATCACCCACCTCGTATTTTAGATTCGCACCCGGTATCAATCCATAGAATTTACCCCACATGAGAATGAAAATTCTCGTTCAATGCTCCCTGTACCCCTATTTTTCACACACCCTACCCATCGACAACATTACAGATGTCACCCCCACCCCTAATTTTCCCTCTACGACTTCCCTGCAATATAATTATTATATAGACAACCCCTCCTTTTCCCCGGATCTCTCACCCCTCCAATCATTTCCACAAAATGAAGTACCCCTCGTCCTCTATCTCTCAATCACCTGCCAGGAGTGCTCTGATGAATCAATACCCCTCCATTTGACTTGTAAATTACCGGTAGTGATCATGATGAAGTGACCCATACTACCCGTACTAGAGAAGCACCCCTAGTAACATCTGTGTAAAGCATGCCGGGGGTGGTCCCATCGTGTTTGTCGGGTCCGATTGACGAAAAACCGGTCGCTGCAATGCAGAGAGGGAGAGGGAGAGGGGGAGGGGGAGGGGGGGGGGGAGGGAAGAAGGGAGAGGGAGAAGGAGAGACAGAGGAAGAGACAGAGGAAGAGGGAAGCAGGGAGAAGGGTAGGGAGAGACAGAGGGAGAACGAGAGAGAGAGACAGAGAGAGAGAGAGAGGAAGAGGGAGAGGGAGAGATAGAATGCGGAGGAGGGAGGGAGGGAGGGAGGGAGGGAGGGAGGGAGAAGGCCATAGACAGTGTGGTGTGGTGGGGTGGGAAGCGGATGGAGATGAAAGAATGGCTAAAAATAAGCAAGTGGAGAAGAGAAGGGATGGGCAGGAGTAAGAGTTTAGGGTTTAGGGTTGTATTTTAAAGAATTCAATCAAGTATGGGATTGTTCATCAAGTAGATCTACAACGATAAAAAGTTGTTCTTTACCGAATATCTCTTGTGTAGATCGAAACTTCTTGAATCAAGACCCCTAGACCTGTGATGACTTGTCAGAAGGAGAACGACAAGCACACAAAACTCTCACCGATGAGGTTGTCGCAAACACCAGTGGTGTAACATCGCTGAAAAGAGCTTTTCACAATCTGCAGAAGGAGATTGAGAGCAACTCACCTCTGTCGTAGAAGCGGAAACAAAGGTGTTTCCATCCTCGAAATGTCCGAAGCAGAGATTTCCTCCTTTTCCAGTAAAGAGCCTGATAGCAAACATTACGCCACCTTCACTACCTGGTTACAAACAGTACCGCTCACAGTCGTCTGCAGTCCCAGGATCCCCTGAAGGAAAGTTGAAAGCGTTGGTGTCGATGTAATCTGAGAGGAGAAGTCAATGAACTTGTGTACAGACTCGAGCGTCACCGTAGGACTTCAAATAGCTCCAGGTGGATGCGCAAGAAGCGTAATCAGCTTGATAGCATGCCGCAATCCCTTGCTGCGTGCCTGTCGCGATTCCCTGCGAAATCTTTCAGCACAGCAAACTTGAGCTCCAACTCCTCCCACCTGTCCAGGAAGTGTATCCTGGTACTCAGTGGTAGATCGCAAGTATAGTCTATAATCGACGGGGATGTTTGTGTTGGCAAGGTAGTTGCCGAAGATGAGATATTCTTTCATGCGACTGTAAATCCAGTAAGTTGCTCCCTGGGAAGCTGAAGTGAAAGCTGGGGAGCAGGTGAGCTGGACGAGCCCGCTGGTCGTCAGGGTACAGGCTGTGATGATAGAAATCTCCTGACCGACTTGTAGGGAGAAACCTGTGTAGTAGCCACTGACCTTGACGAGCTCGAGAGCATCGAGGAGGTCCGTGAGAACAACAACTGATTGACTTACAAGGGTTCCGATCGTCCCTGTGTTGACGATCGCTCTCTTCCCTCCTATCAGATTGATGTTGGCGTCTGACAGCTTCCCATCTTGCACGTCGGTTGTCGCAATGGACCCGAAAGCATCGGTGGTTGCAGTGTATGCTTGCGTGGAATACTGCACGATCTTGGTCCAGCCGCCGGAATCTTGACTATTGAAACAGAGAACTTGAAACGCATTGCTTGTATTTGCGTCCCCATCAGGATCAATCCAAAAGATTGCATCTAAACTTGTAGTGAAAGCAACCTGAATCGCCTTGCACCAGAGCCCGGCTGAGGTTTGTGTGCTCCCGTCGTTTGTGAATGAGAACGCTGCAGGCAGTGAGTTGCTCTGATTGGCAACAGTGAGGGAGACAGAAACTTCAAGGGCGTTGCACTGAGAACAGCTCGTCAAAGAGTTCGCCCTGTAGGTGTTTGGAGGAAGGCTACAAGTGACTGAGTTGGATGTGACGTAAGTGGTGGCGGCACATGGAATCGAGTTGACTGTTGCTTCGATGTCTGCTCCTGATCCAAAGTTTGTCCCGTAGATCGTGAGCACCGTCCCTCCAGCGCTCGGCCCGTACTTGGGCATCGTAGCTGTGATGACTGTAAAAACAAATGTCAGGATGTGAAGAAAAATCATCATTCCAATGAACCTGGAGCTGAGTATGAGAATTTACACTCTGACAACCCACACGATGAGTAGACTCCGGTCTGACTCTCCACCTGCACGACGACCTGCAGCTGCTTGCCGGCACCGGCCGGGGTTGTCACTTTCATGACGATATGCGATATGTATGTAACGGTAGGACAGTTGGTCGATCCGATCGTGACAGTCCTCACCGCCGATGACAAACCAAAGTTGCGACCATAGATCGTGACGTCGGTCCCGCCGCTGGTAGGAGCGGCGGAGTAGACGATAGAAGTGACAGCAGGTGGGTCATAGCTGAAGGATGTTGCCAATGTCATGGTACGTGAAGCGATGTTGATCGAGACGGAGAGGTCCTTCCCTTGCCCGTCGGGAGGCACCGCAAGCACCTGAGAGTCGGACGTCCATCGTTGCTGAACAGCTTTGGTGCTCCCGAATCGAATGGAGGCCGACGGGTCGGTGGACCCGAAGTTGACACCTCTTAGAGTGATGCTTCCAGCTGTCGAGCCCGTGGTTGGCGCCCGTGCTGGGTTGAGAGATGTGAGGTACTGCAGATCGTAAGTGAAGTAGGTGTTGGCCACATTGTACTGTCCTTGAATCGACAGGTAAACACTCTTATCACCGCCTATGTTGAGCGGAGACTTACAAATCAGCGACGAGTCAGAAGTCCAGGAAGTTGACAGGCAGTTGTAAGTATCGATCTTTGCCTTCCCCGTGGAATCATAGATGCCGAAATGACTGCCGAAGATGGTGATGGACTTGGAGGTGGCAGCGGGTGCATTGCGAGGAGTCGCGTCTGTGATGACGGGGGCGTAGTAAGAGAAGAGGTTCTTGGTTACCCCCCTCAGGTTCAAGACTTGAACGGCGACGGTCAGAGAAGCTCCCAGGCCTGGAAGAGACTTGCAGCCGAGACTCGAATCAGACGTGTAGGATGTGGAGATGCAGTTGCTATCTCCGATGGTAACCACCTGGCTTGCTTCTTCCAGACCAAAGTTGGCTCCATAAACAGTGACATTGGTGGGAATGGTTGTTGAGCCATAGTTAGGTACCATCTGAGTAGCAGCAGGTGAATCGTAAGTGAAGGTTCTTGACTGTGCAGAGGCTTGTTGCGCTACTGTGATGCCAACTGGCTTGTCCGAGCCCGTTCCCGCCGGGATTGCGCATGAAACCTTCACGTGCTCCAAGACTGAAACGACGTTGGTGCAGATTTTTTGCGCTATCGTCACGTTTGTCACGGTCACAGCGTTTGCTGGACCGAAGTTCAGTCCTGTCAAGGTTATCGTTGTGCCTCCTTTTGTGGGAGCATTCCAAGGACTCAACGAGTTCAATACTGGAGCATCATAGTTGACGTAAGTCGACGACGCCCCATCCTCCCCAGCAAACACGCCTTGGATGTAGTTCTGCAGGCCGACGCCTGCAGGCAACACCAAGTTGAGTGACGTGGCAGAGAGAACGGTGACAGTTGGTGCCGTCGTGCTGCCGATGGTTAGAACGGCTGGTTGAACTAGATTCTTGCCCAGCAGAGTAATGGTAGTGGACCCTGAAGTCGGCCCATTGCTGGTCGTTGGCGACGTGAGAGAAGGAATATCGTAGGACCAGACTTGAGTCAGCGAGCCTGATATGCTAGATGTACCAGGTATCGTCACTTTCACTGTCAACTTCGTGTTCTTCCCTGCCTTGGTCTGACTTCTCATGGAAGAATCCGACGTCCAGATGTTCACTGCTCCTGTAGTGGAGCCAACGGCTGCAACTGGACTGAAGTCGAGGGGACCAAAGTAGCGGCCGAGGATGGTGATGTATGTGCCGCCTACAACCGGGCCATTGAGGGGATAGACGGAGGATATCACGGGAGTAAAGTATGCAAAGGACACAGCGTCAGACGAGGTTTGCCCTGCTACTTGAACGTAGACCTGCTGTGAACCCGCACCCACCGGTGTCTCACAAGTTACACTTGTGTCTGAGAAGAAGTAGGACGATTTGCAGACTAACGTCCCGATCTTGTTCTGCAGCGAATATTCTTGAGTCCCAAAATTAGAGCCCGTTATGGTGGTGTTGGTTCCTCCAAAAGTGTCTCCAGAGCTCGGGGATATACTCACTACCTTCGGGGCCTTGTAAGAGAAAGAGTTCGGTCTACTCCCCGACTGTCCACGGTTTACAACTTTCACAGTGAGGGCA